GGAGCCACGGTTTTCCTTTTTTCAGGGTGGTTACGTAGAAGATCACAATACAAGCGGTATCATAGAAGCTCAATACATTTTTCAATCAGCAAACGCCATTTCTGATTCCGTGAGTTTCACAAATAGTTACTTCCTTGCTGCAGATCCAGCTAAGAATGGCGAGGAAGACACAGGAGAGACAATGGCGTTGGTACAAGCTGCAGAGAAAGCATTGCAATTAAGAGGCAAAGATCACAACCCACTCACTAAACAAACCGCTGCAAAATCCGGACCTGAGTATTTCCTCAACCGTGGTTATCGTGGTCTGGAGTTAAACAGCGATAATACTTCACCCGAGCCTTTCATAGTTGGGAGAAGTGGGAAGGCATCGGGATACAGGCACGAGTAAACAACTCCAAGAAGTTCACTTGGTCACAAAGAAGATTCTTGCTTGACTCGATCAAGTTACATTGTGAACATTTTTGAGTTTAGGTCAGAAAAGAAACGAAACTGTGCCCATGTCTGTGTTTTTTATATGTTGTTATTGGTCTCAAGTGCTTATGTTCAATAGCTTAGAGTTCCGAACACATTTCAATTTGAGCAGTTAAACTATGGAAGAAGATGTTTGAACAGTACGAAAGAGCTTGCATTTATACAAGAGTTGCCTCATAAGAATATCATAGCATAAAAAGGTCAACATAAGATAAAGCTAGATAAAGCTCTCCGCTAATTCAGTTTTCATGTGAAAAATTCCGGATAATGATCAGACAATGGCATTTCACAGCTTCCTCATAAGTAGGAAGAGCCTCTGGTCGAGTTCGAAGTGAGAAATGTGCGCTGGATCTCCTTGAAGCAACATCAGCAGGCCACCGAACGAAACATATAGCTCTCTGGAAACACAAATATTATCAGTCAGAGATCTGTAAGTTGAATTGGATCTACTTGAGCAAACACTGACTTAGAAAGTTCAATTTTGGCGGTTTAGGTATATGGGATTCTTACGCTTTTGGAGTTTTGCCGTCACGCTCAGTGATCTTGTAAAGCTTCCCATGCATGACGTATTCATACTTATCCGCAAGTGTCTTCTTTGCTCCCTGTAATGAGTCGAGATGAAAACTACAGATGAGCAAACAACATTCTTGGTTCTCAAAGTTAAAATTTTGAAGATAAAAGAAACCGAGGCTTGATATAGGCTTCCTGAATCAAGCCAACTGAATTCTTAAGTGGAGAGATTTGCATTAACCTTTATACCCTAACCAAATTCTAATACAGGTTCCATATAGAATCAATACACTACATGACCAAAACCCCCTGTCACCATTCATTAGAATTGTGCATATACACAAAACAGAGAAAACATTTATAAAGCAGAAGACTTCATTACCGGGGTAAAATATCCGGTATCAGGGGTTCCATCGAGATTAAGGGTAGGAGCCATCGCCAATGTGAACTTATCGCCAACAGCCATCGGATAAACCTCAGTGTTAACATCTAAATGCATAAACATTTCCAAATTGTGGCTCCTAGCTTCAACACGAGTAACTGTAACCACAAACACACACAATCACTGTAAGTTTCCTAAGAATAAACCTTTCAACTTCAACACAGAACAAAACTTAGAGCAGGGAGACCAAAAAAAAAAACTTCGAAAGTTCAGATTTTTATTTACAGTAATCACAAACACACAATCATTGTAGGTTTCCTAAGACAAAAGCCTCTCAATTCAAAGGCAAAACTCAAAACTTATAAAAGTACAGCAATTTTTTCAGTAACAACGATTTTAGTTTCTCTAAAGCTTCAAAACTACGATTTTTATATGAACAAACATCGATTTAAGCAATAAACGAGCATTGAGATTAACAAAAGTATATACCTTTATCGAACTTTTTACCATCAGGGTCAAGTGCACCGACCACGAAGATATCTTCGAACAAGATAATATTGCTAGCCATCTGCAAAAACAGGAAAAAAATTCAAAACCCTAAATAAATACTCTTTAATTCCTTGATAAAACTTCGATTCGAGTGGCAAAGAGGAACTGTATGAACATATGGAGAAGTTATGAAGCCGAAATCTCATCAAAGAAGATTAAAAAATTTCACCTTCTCCGGAGACTCGAGACACAGAGAGGAGTGGCGGCGAGAAAACTGTTCTTAAGAAGAGCGAATATTCGTTATAGTTTCCTTTATTTACATGTGTTTCACATAGTTTTTATTTATTACAAAGCTCCTTATAGTTTTATTTTTTCATGATATTTTCCCTACATTTCTCTATTTATTACACATGTTTCCCGTAGTTTTTGTTTATTACAGTTTTTTTTTCTTACAGTTTATATTTTAATTTTTACATGTAGTTAGTGGCAATGCTTTCAATAACACTTTTGTTCATTATAAATTTTTCATTCTTATGTTCCTTAATTACTCATGCTTTACATTTGTGATCAGTTCGATTTAATTTTATTATAAAATCATTTTCTGTATATAGTTTTGTAATATCGATTTTGCCAGTTGGTATACTATACACTGATTACTGTTGTAGTATAGTAGTACTAGACAATTTCCAAAGCAAAAAAAATTTCAATTTTTTGTCATAATCTTGTTGACTTGAGATGTAGGTTAGCAAAGAAACTTGAGAATTTGGTTGGTACTAAATCTAATTATAAGAGAAATTAAAAGGCACACCAAATAAATCTCATTGATATAACAAAGGAAACACAAATAACAAAGCACACGACATAATGAATACATGTACACATGAACGACAACAAGAGCATGCATGGCAATGTCTCTTTATTTCACGATAAGAAAACCAAACATTTTTAGGAAATCAAATAAATGCGAAGCTCGCATATCTCACACATCATGTTATTCATCTTTCATTCGTCTTATTGAATTATCAGCGACGACAATGACAATGTAAGTCGTCTCCCTCTTGTTCACATTTTCCGCAAATTTGCTTCCCGAAAGTTGCTTGGCAACACTCGTTACATTTCGCAGCTTCACATGGTTCCACGGGGCATTCCCCGCGGAAATGCTTACATGTTTTTCCTTCGATCTTCGGTATTTCTATAACAAAAGTATAGATATTATTGACTTGTAACTTGTAAGCATAAGAAATATATAATGAACATGTGTGAACTACAAAATATTAGCTAGAGAACCCAAGGGATGATTTACCGATTATGACCAATAAGAGGACGAACAAGACAACAGTGAAGCAAACGGAGTTTGGGATCTTTGCCATTTTCTTGATTTAGTTAAATCCTTTTTCTTTCCCTTTTCTTTTGGTATTTTTGGACACACATTATAACGAAAATAAGATGATGTATTTATACGTAAATTTGTATTCGTTTCTATATACTCAAAATGTATAGTGCACGTATTATACAATTTGAATAAAGTGAACTCCTCGCCACGTTTGATATGACGACATCGACCAACGGATATGTCAAAAGATTGACTTTACACTAAAAAGTAAATAAACTCCTCTACCGGTTTTATTGGATTTTTCTAGGTCAACTACGGTTAACAAAAGTAACAATATTTTTCTTCAGTATTCGTTAATGTATCTATGGAGCACAAACAGAATTTTAAAATTCATTATATATTCATATTATATAATTTTTATTTCTTCTCCAACCCTTTGAACTCTATGAGGCCATAGATAGAGTAGAATGTCGACATAACTGACGAGTTATATATTGTTCTTCTAATCAGCATACTTGATTTATTCATGTTTTATGTAACTATATGTAACACAGCACCTATTTTATATTTCAAAATATAAACATCATGATGATATACAAATTCTAGCAAGACTTGTCCAAGTTGTAACAAAGTATTCACAAGAAAAGTTTACCCTTGGTTATGTCTATAGCCTCTATATGGCCTCATATAGCTATGTTTGGTAACAATTTCCAAAAATTGTTAATTATTAGGGTAATTACAGGAATTTTTATCGAGGTTGATTATATTTTTTTCTTTTTGCAAGTTTGGTAACATCTTGTCGAAAAAGATATAAGCGAACAATATGTAGGGCCATTCTTTTCGCTAACTTAAGTTTTCTTCAATTCATACGTTCTAAGAAAGTAATTTACAATATATTCGCGAGGGCTAGAAGATCAAAGCAAATAAACATATATTCAAAAGAATAGCTAGCTAGAGCCTAGAGATAACCAGCTACGTTGAATTTTCCAAAATAAATTATGATTTTATCGAGTTGATGTTCCATGCATGATGTGAGAAGAATATATAATTCAGTAGARTCAGTCACAATGTCGCCATGATTGTTTTTCTTGTTGCTAATGTGTCGCCATGGTTGTTGTAATCCCCCGTGAAACTCTA